CAATGTGACTTGCGGCGAGCGGCAACGTCGACTCGACGAACTGCAAAGCCAGTTCGCGCAGGAGTGCGAATTGTGCAGAAGGCCACCCTAAGGCTCGGAAAGGTCCTATAGGAATCCATTTTGGGTTTCCTCATGTCAGTTTCATCCTTCTAAGTGTTAGAAGTCGATACCGCACACGCGAAACTCCAAAAGAGGACGGAAATAGGTCGAACTAAAACGAGGCGGGCACCACTTCTAAGGTGCTAAGATAGTCGCAGGAAGACCCCTAAGGCTAGATCCTAATTCCTACGAGAAATACTAGACCTCACGAAAATTGAGGTCAACAGGGTGTAAACTAGCGAACATGAGCGAGCTCGTGTTAGCTCATTAAAAAAAATATCATTGTTCATGTTCGACTCGTTTGCTTAGCGAGTCGAATACGAGCTGTTCGCGATGAAAGAGTCGTTTTGACAACTTTAATAACACAGTCGTAATATGTTAAGGGTTAGGGCAAGACTTAAATCTTATTGTTTATATTAAAACATTATTTAAATATAATTAAATGTATTTTTATTCAATTTTTTTAATTAATAATTTTAATTGATTATAATCTTTGTAGCCTTGTAGTCAAGTAATTTTTTTAGAAATAGTACACACACACACACACCAACTCGGAAACATATTGGATGATACATTGGTTACTACTGACAATGACAATCATCTTACTAGCTTAGTAGTTTGCTCCTTCCCTAGAACTAGAGGCAGAGACAAGACCAAACTGATACTATGTATTTCAACACTGTTAGACTTTTTATTTAAATATCTAATATATTTTTCTATTTTTTTCTAATTTTGGAACCATTTGTGGTTTTTGTGTGGGCAGGGTGTCATGCTTAGGCCCTCTCACATATAATATTTGTATCTTTCTTTCTATTTAACATATATATATATATATGTATATATATATATATATATATACATATATATATATATATATATATATAATTTATGAGTAGTATTTCGAGTCAAAACGAGTCGAACGCGAACGAATGCGTTCATATATCGAGCACAAAAAAAAGTGTTCGTGTTCGGCTTGTTAACTTAGCAAACAAATCGAACACGAGTTTCTCAACGAGCCGTTGTTGACAGTACCAAGACCTATGAATTCTGGAAAGACATGCAATATCTACGAGCTTTGGAGCAAGGAGAGGGAAGTTTTTGGTGTTGGGAGTGAAGGGCTGCCCCAGATCTTGCTTTTGTGGACATAAAGGGGAGAGGAAAAGGGCATAATGAAGAGGACATTGGATGCTTTCAGGATAGTTAAGTATTATGTGCTTTTGATTTTTCTTTTTTGCACAGCAGCGGAAACGAGAATGATGGAGGATGGGATGGGATGCAGCGATCTGTTAATAATTTATATAGTGCCTACATATCATGACCTACATCTCGCCTGATCTTTTATTATCTGCATGCCAACTGCTTAATTATATTTATGTATATGATGTTCTTGCGCTTTCAAGTAGGGCTAGCACTGCAATTTATATACTGGTATTTGTCTTCCTACTTGATTTTAATTCATAGTTCATGTTTGCTCCAAAAATATATATATATATATATATATAGAGAGAGAGAGAGAGAGAGAGAGAGAGAGAGAGAGATATCTTTGTATGTGTGTGCAGTTATTTGTAGATTGATTCCTCGTGTATATTTTTACTTCTGCTGTGTCTGAGTCACATGTTTGCCTTGAAATATGTCATTATTTTGAATTTCATGTTAATGGTTGATGTGGGGAATTTTATCAATATAGGTGTCATGTTTAGTTAATTTCAATGTTATGAACATGCTTATGCAGCTCGGTTTGCGAACAAACGATATTTGAGGGATATCAGCAACAATTGAGGCATTTTGATTCAATTTGTGCATGTTGTTTTCAATCCCTGTCTTTCATTTATATCAATTTGTGCTTGCTCATTTTTATCGTATAATGTTTCGCCGTAGGTAAATTTGATGCTCTATGCACGCTGATCCATTTTATGGACTAAGATTATTGGGGTAGCCTCTATGGGTCCTGAAATGTCCTGGCACTAATTTATGTGATGCCTCACTAGATATCCAATTTTGGTGTCATGTTAAATTATATAAAGTCAGGCACTTTTGTTGAGGCCAACAGTATATTAACTATAGTGGATGATATTAAAATATTTCAAATAAAATTTTTCTCATCTTCGATTTTACAACTTCTTCATTTTTTAGAATTAGCGTATGCTTCTAGATATTAATATGATTGTTAAAAGTGTAGAATGGAATTGAATGATTTTTTTATGATTTTTGTAAAAGTTAAAATTTTGGGTATAATTTGTATTTTGCATTTATACCTCACAAAAACTTGAGTATTATAGTTGAGAGGGAAGATTGCCCTTCAGATGATTGTCGTACTTGGTTTTTTTTTTATAACACACACACTCTCTCTCTTACTTACGTGTTTATGATATGATATTGTTGCCAATTTTGGATATTTCTCTGCCATTTCATGTCTACAGACATAAACATATGTAATGCACCATTGCTAAGAAAACTTGTGGTACTTGTACTCTTTGAATTTTTAGTTGTTTCTGTTGAATTTGGCTGTTGTGTTGACAAGTCCTTTTATAGTATAAAACTGCCATTGTCTGCTTCTGGGGAGGCTATTTAAATCGTATGGCTAGAAGACCATTGTATTGAGTAGTGCTAGATGTCCTCGCATTTGGAACCCTTCTTTGAGTTGTAGTAGGGATATCGAATGGCTTTCTGCCTGCTAAGTAACCAATGATAGACCAAAAAGTCATTTGAGATATGTCTGACTCTGTCCTATTGTGCACATCTTATATTGACTGATGTACAGCTTGCCCTATCTTTGCTAGATGGGCATTCATTTAAAGAACTAACCTTTATTCTCTTTCTTCATTTGTATCAGACATTTGTGATAAGCAGAATGCAGAAATTATCGAAGGAAGGCTTACAGCGGACAGACAAACGGATCGGTCTCATGAATGAAGTGTTGGCTGCAATGGATACTGTCAAGTAAGTTTAAGCAGGATTAATCATTTGCTACACTCCAAAGAAATCTACCAAATTAATCAACACATGCGCACACACAAAGATATTCTCTGATCCCCTCCCCTCAATCTCATTCTACTCCCACTACCAAATAGCGATTCTACTATTTATTTATGCTTTCTTTCCAATTTCAACAGATGTTATGCATGGGAGAAAAGCTTCCAGGCTAAAGTACAGAGCATTCGAAATGATGAACTTTCCTGGTTTCGTAAGGCTCAACTACTCGCCGCGGTATTATTCTGTATCAGCATTCAATTTAACTTTATCATAATTCTTTTAAAATTTGTTTGGGTTCACATCATCTGATAATGCACTGCTGATCTCTCTCTTTGTGTGCAATAATAAAACAAAGGTCATGATGCGAATTTACTATGATATTTTGCAGTGCAACTCTTTTATTCTGAACAGCATTCCAGTTGTTGTTACTGTGATATCTTTTGGGGTTTACTCGTTGCTTGGAGGTGATCTGACTCCAGCAAAAGCATTCACATCACTTTCACTGTTTGCTGTTTTGCGTTTTCCTCTCTTCATGTTACCGAATTTGATAACTCAGGTTGGTGTTCTTTCTGTTAAATATTTAGATATGTATTGTGTAATTTTATTCATTGTCTTATAAATTCTGCTAATTTCATTTGTATACGCTTTATCTTCTTGACATTCTTTATCACTAGTCATTTTCCTAACTTTTTTAGGACACTTTGAATCCTCAAAACATCGGACTGCTGAATTATCTATGCAAGAAATTAGAAAGCCAACACTAGCGCTGGATGGATTCTTCATGGAATTCATCATAATTTCAAAATTAAATTAATAATGAAGTTTCATAAATGATATCCATCTCATAAAGAAGCTAAGCGCTAATTGATGATGAGGGCAGCCTGACACTCATCAGATTTTTAATAATTTATAGTTAAAAGCAAATGCTGAAAATTCAGCCATAAAATATATTGTTGGATTTATAAAGGCATAAAAATCAGTGTGTTTTAACTTTTATAGTAACTTAAACTTTTTCAGTCATTGGCCTTTGAAAAATGGAGTCTATCTAAACCGATTGGCTGAACATACTGTATCAGATCAATTGGTTGGGCCTTATTATTGCTTTGTTTTTTTACATTTTTGTATCTAACTGACTTGAGAGCTTATCGTGGACACGGTATTGTAGGCGCAATGGTGTTATTGTAGCTATTGCAGTAACCACGTCCCCTTCTTTCCTTTTTGTCTTCCTCCTCTCTCCTTTTCACTCTCTTCCATAAAAAGTCTCGTCCCTATTCATTACCTACCTTATTTACCACCTTCCGCTTCTATCTTAATTTCAAATTCCTTCCTTTTCCATCACCCCTCCTTTATTTCTTGCCAATTTTTTTACTGTCTAATCTATCTACTAACTTCCTCTTATTTATACATGTTGTTTGCTAAGGGGAGGACAGTTTTCATGTTTGCCGATTTTAGTTGCTGCCTTTAAGGCCTTCTTCCCCTCTGGGGGCGTACTCGACGATGAGAAGGTGCTCCAACTGTAACTTGTCTTAGGTGGTGACCATCTCCAAGGTCCGGGTGGTGCTCCGGCTGTAGCGTGATCCCGACGAGACATTTATCATTTCACAGCCTCTCTGACCCCGCTTCCATCAGCCACAAACCATCCCCCTTGCTGCCATCTACTTCCAGCTTTCTCCTTTCCACTGCTGACCTGCCCTGCTGCCTCCAACTGACCGCAGATCACACCAGCCCACTCCTCCCAGCCACCACCGGCCATCTCCCAGCCGCAGCCCAGGTCTCCAGGCTCTTTCCTGCCATCTACAAGGCCCTTACAGTATAGCTCGTGCTGCGGCCAGCCCCTCCAGAATCTGTTCCTGCTGCTGCCCAGCCGCCGACACCTGCTCCAGCTGCTGTGCAGCCCTCAGACACCGTTCCTGCTGCCGTCCTGCCTGCTGCTGTCCCAGGCCACCACAGCTCCTTTTCTGCCACCTTCCAGCAGCCACCAAGGTTCCTCCCCACTGCTGTCCTGCATCTCCAACGCCTTCCAACCATTGTCCAGTCCACCCCAAGCGCTTTCCAACCATTGTCCAGTCAGTCCAGCGCCATGCCTCCTGCCCTCCTGGATTTGTCGCTCTCTTCCTATAGGGCCATTTATGTGTTTTGTATTGCTTTCTTTTCATATTTTTAGCAGCGTCATAGTTGTCCTTTTTGTTTGCATTTTGTATTGTTTTATCTTGAGGAGTTAAATTCAATAATTATATTTACCTTCTTACTGACGACTCTCAATATCATCTAGTTGCCGCGTGACTTTTTTTATATTTTGATTTGAGATAAAGTGGAAACCATAAATTCTTAGGCTTCCTTAAAATTGTTCTTTTGTTGATCTTTAAAATAACACTCTGAACGCTATAGTACTCTGATATTGTGCCAACGCTGGTCTGTTGGAATTTTCTTCATCACTTCTGACCTTTTCAAATCTTCTTTGTCCTTCTATTTAATTTTCTTTTTTTCAGTTGGTGTATGAACTGCATTTGTAATTTTGATGAACATCTACCGACTCACCCTTTGTCGCTTGTAATTTTTGTTTATGAGACATTGAACTGTCCTAATCATTTTCTGTTTTTAATGCTGTAACCAAATATTAAAACTGACGGATTTGTTTTTCATTCGAACACGTCATAAATGGTTTGTATATTCATCTTTGTTAGGTTGTGAATGCGAATGTTTCATTGAAAAGACTAGAGGAGTTATTTTTGACTGAGGAACGAGCTCTTATGCCTAATCCACCTCTCGATGCTACTCTTCCAGCCATATCAATTAAGGATGGATACTTTTCCTGGGACTCAAAGGTTGCCATTTATGTCTGTAAAACTCAAGGATATGATTATATGTTTATGAATTCTATCTGTTTTCATGCTATTTCATTTTTCATCTCTTATTTCTTTGAGAATTTTTGTAAGCTTTTACTGAAATTCTTGGACCCTGCAGGAGGAGAGGGCCACATTATCCAATATCAACCTTGATATCCCTGTTGGTAGCTTGGTGGCCATAGTGGGAAGCACTGGAGAGGGAAAAACATCTCTAATATCTGCAATGCTTGGTGAACTTCCAGCAAAGCCAGGATCCAATACAACTGTTGTCATCCGTGGCAGTGTTGCCTATGTTCCTCAAATTTCATGGATTTTTAATGCTTCTGTAAGTTCTAGATTGAAATAATTTATGTATGGTATCATATGGATAATGTGCCTAATGCTAACTTGTTTTCAATGAATAACAGGTGCGGGATAATATCTTGTTTGGATCTCATTTTGAAGCACGGCGCTATGAAGAAGCAATTGAAGTCACTGCTTTACAACATGACCTTGAAGTGCTCCCGGTTTGCATCCATGCTCTCTTGAAATTTTTTATTGCAGTAGTAAATGTGTTTTCTTGCATATGAAATGATGATTTCTGCAACTAAAATAAATTAGGTTTATATTTCGCACTTATCAATTTATTTCTTTCAGGGTGGTGACCTTACAGAAATTGGTGAGCGTGGAGTTAATATCAGTGGGGGACAAAAGCAAAGAGTTTCCATGGCAAGGGCTGTTTATTCTAATTCTGATGTATATGTATTTGATGATCCCTTGAGTGCATTGGATGCTCATGTTGGTCGGCAGGTATTCTTGATCTCTCTTTCGCTTTTAATATTCATATCTCAGTCGTATATACATTATATGAAATATTTATTTGTAGATATTTATGGAGCTTTTCTTCTTAGGAGGGTAATGGTCATCTTCCTTTCTTCAAAATTTCTAAGCATGACCTTAAAATGTAAGATCAAGTCAGTCCATCCTGTTATAAATAAGTAAAACTAATATTGTCTGATCTCATTATTTGTTAAGCTTATTTGATCTTTCATTAGAAGCATTAAAATTTGTGTATGGATGGCTTTGATCATTTAATAAAAAAAATTACAATGTAAAGCCTTTTAAAAAGCTTGGAGCTTAGTATCTGAGTTGCTCGTGTTATTTAGAGAATATCTAACTGTTTTGATTGTATAAATTCATAGAAGTGACTTTATGAGCTTAAATATGTTTTCTTATCAACCCCATTTGTAATATTTGATGTCTGAAAGGAACTGACGAATATTGATCCATGAATAGTTTCAAAATGTTGATTTTAGTGTGTTTGTGCGTGTGCGTGTGCACGCATGCATACGTGATACAACTATACTTTTATGTGTTTATATTTATATATATAATGCCTACCTGGGATTGATTTTTCTATTTCTCGGAGCAGAATGACCACTCCTATTCTATTACATTCTAATTATATGACAATTAAATTTAAGATCAAAACTATTATTTTTCTTTAGCATCATTAAAGTCAGTGTGACGTTGGATCCGCATCCTATTTCTGTGAGGCTTCACGATTTTGCGGGCTGCGCCATCCACGTGAGGATCCTGTTCACTTGATTTCCGCGATCATGATCACATAATTTTGCAATCCTGATCGCATTATTTTGCGATCACAATCACAGGCAAGGCGGACCACATATGCCTCTAGATTTTCTTATGTTTTTGATTTATTTCTTATTTCCTATTCTAACTAAGTTATTTTCTATCATGTAGCTTTTATGTAATAAGTATATGGTTATTTGAGACTTAAGTTTTATTGATTTTATTGTGGGCTCCGAAAATTCACGACCGCTCCGCAGGAAAACTCTCTGATTTTATTTTTATGTTTATTTTGTTCAGTGTTAAGAGAGCTTAGGTTGGTCAATTACCCAGAGATTGGATTGTAGATAGGACATTACCCATAAATTTCACCCTCATTTTGCAAGGATATTTTGATATGGGGTTTGAGGTTTCCCATAGGCACAAATCTCTATGGTTAGTTACTCTCCCCTCTGATAACAGGAGAACACTTTCGATTAAGGCTAGTTATTAAAAATTGAGTATTTAACATACAATAACAACTTAGGATTTTAAATTGTAGAATTCACCACTTAAACTTAAAGTGGATGGTGAGGGAATGAAGACGAAGCCCGATCAAGATCTCATTGTTAGGGAATGAATACTTATGTTCATCGTTGTCCCTGATCTAATTAGTCAGAGAAGGTATTCAACCCAACATGACAGAAGGATTCTTGTTGATCTGGGGTAGATGTTTGTCTAAGGGGATAAATTTAAGTCGACCTTAGCTAACAAAAGACTTCAATCAATTGTACTTTTATAATTCACAACTCAAATGTTAGAAAGTCTTTGGGGAATATACGAGCTGCTATCGTGACCGTAATATATTATTGTTATTTGGCGGCAACCACCCGGTCAGAGGGCTCTTGTCATAATCGCTATTTTGTGATGTCATTTGATGGAATAACCACACAGACAAAGAACTCGGGCCACGTTCTTATTGGCATGGAATTGTTTTGATTATGAATATAGATGTGTATTTGATATGACATTAGCTCTTTGTGAACTGAGTCGGTCAAAAATTTATCACTCTTAAAAAGTTGTTGCAGAGATAAATGAGATTTTTTTTTAGCTTTTATTGATTTATTTTTGCTTTACATATTAGTTGGTTACTTTGAGAAGCTTGATTTTAAAGATTACCCCTCCGGTTGAAATCTTAGATCAATACGACCATCATCAGGGAATTAGTTATTTAAAACATTTTATCTTTAAAATGGGGCATTTAATTTTGCTAGTTTATGCTTTTTAAAGTATAAAATCATGTTGACTCATATCCTTATAGATAGAAGAATTGGACTCGATGGTTCAGACGTGTAAATTTTTATTTTAGAATGTGGGCGTTTATTTCAAAATTATTAGACTTGAAAACTAGTTCTTGCGAAGAGAAGGATCGGACTAGTTGAGTGAGACTTAGAATCTTATCCTATCGACAAAGCAACCTGGTTAGCCCGTGCAACATTCTCGAACATAGTATTTGAGCATCTAACATTTTGGTTGTAGCACATGCGGCATTTAGTTTCAAATATTAACAAACTTTCAAGTATTTTGCATTCTTTGAACGACTTAGATGCTAATTTAAAATATGAGTTTGAGGGAGAATTTGTTTCATGAAGGGGCATATGCAGCAATTTGAAATCATGAATGACAAATTTATTGAGATTATTCAAACTTTAACTTCTGCAAGTTAAAATACTTTTATAGATCTTAAGTGTTGTATTTCTTATTTGATTAAGGAAATATTTTTGAAATTTTTGTGTTGAAATTATTCAAAGTTTGAAATATTTTCAAAAATACACTTGCATTTACATAAATTCATTTGGAGCTTAAAAAATGATCGCCTTCTTTTTGTTACCAGACACATGAATTCAGTGGCGAGGTTTTAAAATTTTTAAGTTTAAGTTATTTTAAAACTTTATGAGTCTAAAGTTAAAAGCCCAAATTTTAAAATATTTTAATGCCCAGAGAGCCTAAATCTCAAAAGCTCGGGACTTTAATACTTTTAAAATCTTAAGAGCCTTTATTTTAAAGCTTGGTTTTTCAAATTATTTTAAAATTAAAATGTGTTATATTTTATTCTATTTTATAAGCCCAAAGTTTCAAATATTTTAAAGTGATTGTAAATCCAAATCACCCAATATTTCAGCAGCCTCGGCGTTAACTCCCGTTTGGGGGCACGGGAGAATGCCTACCTTCCAGCTGTCTTAAGAGACGAGGTAGTCAGTTTCGTGAGACATTGCTACAGTGGAGCAAAAGTATACATTTAACCTGCGATCTTAAAAGACGCAATGGGTCTTCAATGTAACTGTATAAAATGTTAGATCATAAATCAATATTTCTTGAGTGGTACTTTACTTTCCACGAACGACACTCAATTTCTCAGGAGCAGGTACTCACTTTTTCCACAAACAGACATTTTAAATTTTTTATATTTAAAAAAATTTTCCAAACGAGTTTGTTTTTTTCCCCCAAACAGTACTTAATTTCCCCACGAACTGGTACTCGAGCATCCTCGAGTGGATATTTTGAAAATTTCCTCGCACTGTCTCATAAATATACCTTTCGATAGTATAACTACGAATAAGGCAATAAAATAAAATTAGAAAATGAAATGAACAATTTAGTGGCTATTTGGTGCTCATTTTGGCTAGAGGATTCGACTCGGGTTTGAATAAGAAGCGGATTGATTTAGCAAGCAAAGGCTCCTTGTGATTTGCGAGAGAGATGAAACATCCTAAGGTGAAGGGGATCATCAGGATTGCACATGGAGGCAATAGGATTTCTCATTCATGCGATTGGGAAGAAGAAAAGGGCTCAAGATAGCAGAGGTGGAGGAGGAAAATCAGGCTTTAGGGCAGAGAATTGATCATGGCAAGGGGGAAGTCGAGCGGCTTTCTTGTGCGGCAGAGGATCATGAGGGGTAGGACAAGCATTTGGTTTGTTGGAACAGGGAATCGCTTGCGAGGTAGACATGACAGAGGGTTTCAATATGGGCTCGAACATTAAAAATCATATCGGCTTTGTGATGGCAGAGAGGAGAGGGCTCTGGTGAGACAGAAGCTTCATGCGATTACGGGAGCGACATGAAGGATCGTGACATAAGGCAACACATAGGAAAGGAATGTGATCCGTCGTTGCAGATTAGAACAGGAAGGTGAACACCGAGAAAAGTGACAGTATGCAAACAGGGAAGGTTTGGAGTGTTCCTCGAATACAGTGGAAAACACATATGGTTGTGAAGAAGACAAAGCGGGAGTGAAAAGGGAAATTGGGAGTTTCGGGTCTCTGCATGCCCAATTGCGACTATACCGCGATGTTTTCAGGCACATAGAAGAAACGATGAAGATCTCGAGTTAGTGTAGAGGGGATCCAAAGAGTTTTTTATGTTGTGAAGTGCGGGAAGGAGAAGAAAACACCGAAGAAGAGCAGTGCAAATGAAATTAAAAGATAGTGACTTGCGTTGTGCAGGTTTTTGAATTGGAGAAGACGAACGAAGTGGAATGGTGGAGATAGTGTAGTTTGGAACAACCGAGGAAGAGGTGGAACGAAACAGTGCCAATCATGCGAATGAATATGATTGAAGGAGCGGGGAGGTTTGGTTTGTCTATTTCTAACCGAAGGGAAGAGTGGGAGTGATTATTCCACTCCAACGGTCTCCAATAGGCGGGAAGACTGGATTGGATAAAATTTTATGTTAATTAATTTAATTTTTTTTTATTTTTGTTCCCCATTTTTTTTTTATTTCTATGGTCAACATTTATGAAGTTGAGAGATTCCTTCTCTGATTTATGTTTTTCTGAGTGTTGTGTCATCTTCCTATTGCATGTACTTTTAGTTTGCTCAAGAACATATGGTGGATAAGCGGATCCCCCTCGACGTCCGCACTTTGTCGTTTTGTCATTTGGCCGCTCTTTTCAATCCGGACAGCTGCCAAATTCCTCCAATATCTGCCCAACACTTGGTTTTGTCTCGTCTCCCTCTTCAAATGCCGTTGAACTACCATATTTCATTCCGTCGTTATTCCACAACCACCTTCCCATGAAATTCACTTCTCAAATACCTTCTAGGAGCAGTAGAGTGACATCACAGTGGCTCTCACAAATTCAAGAACTTATAAAGTCATTTGACCATCAGATGGATGCAATAAAATTTTCTCTTTGAAAGGTTTTCAATAACGTGAGAAGATCTTGCTATATTTATTCTGCATGATGTTTCCAATGGCCTGAAATAAATACTCTGCTTTTTGCTCACATTTAGAGTCTATTTATATTTTAATTGATGAAATGCATGTGTAAAGCTGGACCCGTAAGTGTATTTTTATATGTGGTCATGTCATCCGTGTTTTGTTTACATTCCTAACTTAGTGATTCAAATATTGTGAAAGTTTATGAAATTGGATCGGTTAGTACTTTTCATGTCACGAGTAAAACTCAAAGTTGTGATATTGGTTTTGAAGAACATAATAGGCTCTAGACAAAAAATAAAACTGAGAGGACATCATTCTTTTGACATTTAGATTTTAATGTTAGGAATTTCATTTGTATATAACTAGTGACATTCATGATTTCAAGAAGTTTTAGGATTATTTAATCATCAATTAGATGCATTCAAAGTTTCTCAATGGATAGTTTTGATTTAATGACAAGATAAATGTGACGAGGCTTTCACATGCCATGGAATTAGACATGAATCATTAAATATTTTCAAGTTATCTATTTTCTTATATTGTTTAAATGCACGAGCAAAATTGAACTTTTAAAATGCATATTTTGATGCTTTTTTGTTTCCTTCTTTCTATTATGTGCTGATGAATTGAAATTCAAATTCATGAAACTAGGTCATAAACAATTTTCATATTGTAGAGGAAAAACAAGCATAGAATTTTGAATTTGTGAAATGTATGAAGCAGTAAAAAAAACTAAAGTGGATAATGATTATTTTCGTTCACTTAAAAGTTTTCCTGTCTGGTCTTCAAACATAAGATCAAGATCATTCCTTCAAAATTGCCAGAACTAGTGACATGTGATTTCATTCATTGCTAAGATGATTCAATTTGTGATAGGAGTCATTGAGAAAAATTACACTTGATGGTTTTGGTTGCATGATAATATAGTTTTGATTGTCTTGTTTTCCTTAAATTTAGAGGGTTTTATATCAATTTAGATTGATAGAATACGTAGTTTAAATCTAGTTTTTTATATAAGTTTTTTCATGTCATAAAGCATTCTCATTTTTATTACATACTCAATATTTTGTTAAATCGTTATGAAAATTAATCAAGTATGATCTTCAATTAGTTTTCATAGATTAGATGAAAATTAAAATCATAGAATGCTTTGGACTTTTCTTCTCTTAGGAGGTGTTTAGTCCACCCTCCGCTATGTGTGTATGTATATATCTATATTCATTGTTATAGGTTTTCCCCCTGATCTGTAATTATTTGTTCAGGTTTTTGATAGATGTATTAAGGACAAATTGAGAGGAAGAACCCGAGTGCTTGTGACGAACCAACTACATTTTCTTCCAAATGTTGATACAATTATTTTGGTTCATGAAGGCATGATCAAGGAGAAGGGCACCTTTGAAGAACTCAGTAGTGATGGATTTCTTTTTCGAAAGTTAATGGAAAATGCTGGGAAGATGGAGGAGCAAGTTGATGAAGAGGGAAGTGAAAATGAAGGCAAGGAGATTGCCGCATCTACTGAAAATGGAGAAATTACAAAGGGTGGGAATGGACTGGAAAACAATAATAATAAAGGAAAGAATGGGAAGTCTGTGCTTATAAAACAGGAAGAACGTGAAACTGGTGTTGTGAGCTTTAAAGTTGTTGATAGGTAATAAATCTTCTTTTAGTCTGTCTTTGATTTGAATAGTTTCAGAGGATTACTCTTGAAACATGTTGTGCCATGTCTATAATAAGTAAGAACTGACTAATGGAACTTTTAATTACACATATTCCATCTAGCTGGAGTTTGATAAGCTATCTGATCTGAAAAATCAAGTGATATGTTAAATTATAAATTTCCAAAGTTGCCAATTGCATGCTTTCGCATAATACTTTTATGAGACATGATTTCTCCGTTACCGCTTATTATGATATAAATGTATTTTTGCAGCTTTCTACACTGTTTCTTCAATGCAAGCCTTTTTATGAAGTTGTAATAAAAATGCTTGAACTTTAAAACACTTGAAAGATATTTTTGTTCATTATTATTCTTCATGCAATGCACAAAATTTTTGAATCTCATCCTAGATTTATTTTTACTATTATGTAAATAATTATGTTTTTACAACCCCTGTAGGTATAAGAATGCCCTGGGTGGGCTCTGGGTTGTCATGATACTCTTCTTTTGCTATGTATTGACTGAAACTCTTAGAATTTCAAGTAGTACATGGTTGAGTGTTTGGACAGATCGAAGCTCTCCAAAGAGTCATGGGGCCGGTTTTTACAACCTGATCTATGCACTTCTTTCATTTGGCCAGGTACTACAAGTACTTAACATCATATACTTGAAATTTTGACTTTGCCTCTTGATTTATTTTTGGACGGTTATAATCACATTATGAAATAATATCTGTGATGGTTCATATATTAAACTACTTATATATTTGCTTTTATGTAGGTACTAGTGACACTTACTAACTCTTATTGGTTGATAATTTCAAGTCTTTATGCTGCCAAGAGGTTGCACGATGCTATGCTTAATTCTATATTACGAGCTCCAATGGTATTCTTTCACACAAACCCACTTGGAAGGGTAATAAATAGATTTGCAAAGGATCTAGGTGATATAGATCGCAATGTTGCTGTATTTGTCAATATGTTTTTGGGACAAGTTTCACAGCTCCTTTCAACTTTTGTTCTGATCGGTCTTGTCAGCACTACTTCTCTTTGGGCCATCATGCCACTTCTGATTCTGTTTTATGCTGCCTATCTATATTATCAGGTAAAAGCAACTTATACTATTATCTGAAGGATTGTTAATATGTTTGTTCCACTCCACTGCTCCAAATTTATACTAGTAGTTTTTGCAGTAAGCTTGCCATCCGCTGATTCTATTGAATATTTTTATTGTTTCAAGTAGTGGTCTACTACATTTTAGTGCGTTGACAAAGCCATGAACTAAATATCCCTTGCTTCCATGTTCGCTCAAGAACCTTTGTCAACTGAATGTAAAGAATCTGGTTGTTTTTAGGTTCTCTTAGTGAAATCTTCAGTCTTCTCGAAATTTTCGCTCATCATCATTATCATTAGCCTCATCATTATTAAAATAGGAGAGGATAAATTAATTATTAGCTAAATAATATATCATCAATTCACATAGCTAGCAAAAACAACAGTTCTCTTTAAGAATTTCTAGAGGAAGGCTAAGTCGGAATTGGCGTAGCAATTGAAGCGTCTTATGGAAGTGGCGGCCATGCAATATAGTGATTAGTAGTAAGAACAAGTCTAAGGAATTGCGGGCTCCGAAAATTTGAGCCCTAGACTTTCATTGAGAGCTTTATATTGTTCCAAGTCAATTTTTCAGAAGGTAGATTATACAGTCGATAATGCACTTCCAAATATTTCATCCTCATTTTTCGGAGATTTTAAGCTCGGTTTAGAAGTTACTCATGAACTCAAGCCCCCGTGGTTTATTACCTCTCCTTGTAACGAGAGATCACTTTTGATTAGGGCTAGTCACTACAATTTTGCGCATTACCTTAGGTTTTAGATTATAAAATTTTTCATCATGAGTTCAAAGTGGATGGCGAGGAAATGATGACAAACTCAATCAAGATCTCATGATTTCATCATCTTGGGTCGTCTTGGTCTTAATCTATTTAATCAAGGAGATAATCGACCCAAATCGACCAAATAATTTGTGCCAACAATCATAGGTTGCACATTTAAGGGGAACTTTATAGACCCGATTGATATTTGTCTTAAGTGATAAATTTCAGTAGATCTTAGCTAGCAAAGAGCTTTGTGCTAATTAAATATGCCTTATGATTAATAACTCAAAGAGTAAAAATCTATTGGGGAACATACAAATTACAACTATGACCGTAATATAATGGTAGTATTTGTTGGAAAATCAACCGTTCATAGGATATTAATCGTAAGTGTTCTTTTTGTGGTTTCGTTGGGCTAAATCACGCAGATAGAAGACTCAGACTTGGGCCGCATTCTTACTGGCATAGATTTATTTTTGAGTATGGATAGTGATACACTTGTATATGAGAATCCAGTTTAGGAATAAAATAAATCCTTGGCTATGAGGATCTAATTTAGGAAAAAAATATTTTATTTTTATTAGTTTCTTTTTTCCCGTTTTTATATATATTCATTGTATAATTTGTGTGTGTTCCTGTGATGTTTCTGCTAGGGTTTACTCCCATCGCATCTTCATGGCGACCCGAGTAGCCCTTCTTATCTCTTCGCCGGATCGAAATCGTAGCTTGCTCCTTCGTCATGCTTTGTCATCTGCTCGACTTCGTCTATTCCTTCGTCGCGCTTTGTCTGCATCGAATTCGTCTGCTCGACTCCGTCTGCTTTGACTTTGCCTCCCTCGGCTTCACGACTCCGTCTGCTGGTTCGTTTCCGGGTCGTACTTCGTCGTGCCTTGACGAAATCACAGCCTTCGTCGTCTGCGGCGTCTTCTTCGTCAAGGACGATAGACTGCTCTGCCACATCGACCTGCTCGATTGCTCGCATCGTTCGTAGGCGGCAGTTTTGCTCAACTATTTCCTCCTATGCCACTGCACTTGTCGGCGACATTTCCTAGTCGTGCTTCTCTTTCAGGTTCAGAGTCTGGTTTTCATATTGACAAGTCCTGCAATGTTCCTTAATCTTTTCACTGGTGGCGATCACACCTTCATAAAAAAATTGGGGAAAAAAAAGGAAGTTTGCTCTTATTCTCACAGAGGTTGAAACCAGTACTCTCGTGTCCTCTTGGCGCTTTGCTCTAGTGGGAAAATTTCTGTATGGTCACCTAAAACTGGAGATCATTCGAAAAGATTTTGAGGCTATGAAGGTGATCTTGTTCTAAAGTGTGTTGGAGATGTGCAGATTGTTGAACATTATAAGCAACTACATGTTGTACCGGCTGGCGTGTTTTGGCGGCTGATCTGTTATTTACCGGCTGATCTGTTATTGGATCAAAAGAGTCCTCTCGTGTTTCTTGACATGTATGCGAGTCTTATTCAATAACAGTGAGTGGTATGAGCACAACTGGATTTGTAGCTATAGTATGTTATTCTTCTTCAGGAACTGCGGTGTTGGGAAGAGGATCGGGTTGCATCTTCTCAACAGGGATAATAGATGGTTGTTCTTTATGGTTGTTCTTTAGCGATATTCTTTAGCGATATTCGACCTTAGATGAGGATGAAAATGATAGCAAATAGTAGAGCTGTGGCCAAGCATACTACAATGAGAGCAATAAGGACGGTGTGATTCGATTTCAACTTTTTGCCAATACCAGTTGTGAGTGGTGTCAATCCATACCTTATCCGGAGCTGGTTAAGTGATATCTCTCTCAACTAACACACAAGCCACAGAGGGTCTGGTGACAGCAAGCGTAGGACTATCAACCCTGAGAGGCATACCGTAAGCAAGTGCTAAGGAGTAGAGAATTTCCAAGTTGAACAGATGTAATTTTAACCCCGGGAATTTAATCCAGACTGGAATGATAGGGGAATGATAGGATGATAGGGGACTCCGCTTTTGGGTCGAAGCCAACAGTCCATTTCAGAATTTTCTTATAACGGTTGTCGATCTTGATAACTTTCCGAGAAAAGATGCGAGTGTAATCGACATCATGAGACAACTGAATCAGTATGTGCTGACCGTCAAGTAAAGTCAAATATTCCAACTGCCCAATAATATTAATCTTTAACCAATCCGTAGAGGGTTTTATTTATGGTGAAATGAACCTCTGGCTTACAAAAAAAGTAAAATGAAGAACCCTGATACATTAAATAATATAGGAAATATGACCAAATATTCCCTTTATACAAGTCCCTAAATAAATTAGGAAATACAATGTTGTGATATTAAACATATCTCCAGATAAGAGAAAGCCCTAAAAGGGAGAGATTCTTAAGAGATGGGGACATGAGAAAAATTTTTATCCCAAATGATTCTGTCATTCATTTGATCCACTACAAGGCCTAACTACCCCTATGTGGCCCCAATCAATAGAATTCACTTCTTTTTTTCTGATTCTTCTATCCATGCATTAAAAAATAGTAAGAACTTGTTTTCTTTTAGGATTGTGATACTGCCCTCCATATCTACTTATTTAACACGTGGGCTTGCCCTTGGGAGCATAGCTAATATAAGAATGAGAAATTGTTGGATTTTGATCACAACACATGTTTAGATAACCTGAAATATGATTACATGAATTACAAGTACTATAGAATATCTTTTCAGAAAAAAAGAAAAAAGAAAAAGCAATTTTTGTTTCACCAAACAGCATGTCTGCTAATACAGCTACTGCTATATCTAGAAAAATACTGTTGTTTTTTAAAGTAAAACCACCTAGCCTCTCTGTTGGCTGGATACACCAAACAGCCTAGATGGCTGTTTTAAAAGGTTCATTTGCCAGACCATTGATCAGGGATTAAGATGGAGTTGTTCTGAACTTTTGAAAATAAGATGAAAATACATGTAAATTTTATCTCTGTGCTTGGTTTGCTGTGTTTATTACTTATACCTGAATTCTACTTGAATGTGCATGCTACTTGATGGAAATCAATCATTGCTGATTTTTCTCCCTTCTTATTGTACACAGAGCACTGCCCGCGAAGTGAAACGCCTGGATTCCATAACTCGGTCTCCTGTTTATGCACAATTTGGGGAAGCATTGAATGGACTTTCAACCATACGTGCATACAAAGCTTACGATAGAATGGCTCGTATTAATGGGAAGTCCATGGACAATAATGTTCGATTCACCCTTGTGAATATGAGTGCCAACCGTTGGCTTGGCATACGGTTAGAAACACTGGGTGGGATTATGATTTGGTTTACAGCATCCTTCGCTGTAATGCAGAACCAGCGTTCTGAAAACCAAAAGGCATTTGCTTCAACAATGGGTTTACTTCTTTCTTATGCTTTAAATATTACAAGCCTATTGACAGCCGTTCTAAGACTTGCAAGTCTTGCTGAGAATAGTTTAAATGCTGTGGAACGAGTTGGAAATTACATAGAGCTACCTTCTGAGGCTCCTCCAGTTATTGAAAGCAACAGACCACCTCCTGGTTGGCCTTCTTCAGGAACAATTGATTTCCAGGATGTTGTTCTTAGATATAGGCCTGAACTTCCTCCTGTTCTCCATGGCATATCCTTCAGAATTGCAGCAAGTGAGAAAATTGGAATAGTTGGTCGTACTGGAGCGGGAAAGTCTAGTATGATCAATGCTTTATTTCGGATGGTGGAATTGGAGAGAGGGACAATCCTTATTGATGATTGTGATGTTTCCAAATTTGGTCTCTGGGATTTACGCAATGTTCTTGGAATAATCCCTCAATCACCAGTTTTATTTTCAGGTATGTTGTATGGTTTTTAACATGGGTTAAAAGTTTACTTATGAAATGTGATTTGTGATGATATTATTATTCAAATTGTACAATGATTGTTATTTATTATTATTTTTTTACAACAAAAATATTATAACGTGAAAATGATAGAAATACATCAAGGACAATTAACAAGAATTGTTGGAGAAAGAAAAATTATATCATCAAGGAAAGAAATAAAGCAAATCTTTGAGGAATTAAGTCATTATTTACTTGAAAGTTACAAAGTGGCTTATTTCGATCTCCTTGCTTGAAGTCTGGTGAAGGTGATAGATATTTTCTTATTCTTGCCTCACATAATAAATATAAACTGAAATTTTTTATCCACTGGCGAATAAATTCTTTGTCTACTTTCATCTGAGAAAGACTAAAAAGCATCAAGGTTATCACTGTGATCACAACTTTGAGGATTTGGAGGATCTGTTATGGGCATGAATATGGATCAATGAAACTACTTAGGGGTGAAGAAACAACTATTGTCACATGTTAGGAGGGAGTTTGATCTCAATCCCTAAAGGAAAAGTTGGTCCCACATTCTGAGTGCAGACTCTATATGATTGAAATGCTTCTACAATGATCACTAATTGGCTATGGTCACATTGTATGGTTTTGTGTTTGAAAAATTGGGTTTTTTAATTCTAGGTGAGCCTTGAAGCATTCTACAAAATTATTTAAAAAAATTTTATAGAATAAGCAATAGGATTGAATGCCTTAAAATTTTATTCTGTCAATATCCACACTTCTATTTTCAAATGAGAATTAACTTTTAGCTCAACTAGTATACGACAATAGCTTTATCTACTTGTAAGTTTTCGCCAAATATTGATCCTAATGAATATAGTGAGGATTGGATTAAATAATGCAGCCAAAGACGTGGGAATGATATCCGGAGTGGAGTAATTGGTGGTTCCTCTTAAAGAGTCAATTGTGGCGACCATTTCAGCATACACATTGGGAAGCCATTGATATAATCTGTCTACAAAGAAAAATGCCTGGTGTTTTGAGCTTCTGAGATGATTTAATTGTGATATAACGAGAATTCATGAGCCCAAGAGAATGGGTGGCAACCAATATTAAATCCGATAAAATACTGCGGATGTTCATGTTATGATGACCTAAAGGGAATTTGCCAACAATAAAAAAGCAAAGAGATTTATCAAGCTCAATGAACTCGTCATCAGAAAATATAAGGGCTTGTTAGCCTTTGATACATGAAAGGATGTTTATGAGTTAGTGAGATTGTATATTGATTGAAGAATATGAGGAAATATTTTTTTGGTGATTATAAATGAATTCTATTATTTACTCTACCAAAGATATTTGTAAAAGAACGAGGGTGTTAGGTAGGAGGTTTGATTTGGGTATGGGGAGTAGAGGTTTAAACTGCAATCCTAGGAAGGGTGAAAAAAGGGGAAGCTAAGGATCTTGTTGAGGAGTCAACATCAAAGGAGATTGATCCAGGTTGGAAGGAGAGTGGTAGGTACAACATCAACTGGAGATGAAGGGAGTGAACATGGTGACGTAAATAGATGACTGGTAAAATAAAATTTCACTAAATGTGGGAAAAGAAAAGAGAAAAAAACTTTGAAGTCTTAGGACCGAGAGGGAGGGAGAGGGGGCATCCCTATAGAAGTAGGAATGCTGCTAAGGGGGTGTTGGGTACTCGGATTTTAGCAGGCTTTAATATTAACGTAAATGTAGCCATACAAAAAAGATTGAGGAAGTTAAATCTAAATCTAAAAATCCTCCTCTTTCATTACTTTTATAACCTAAATGCGGATTTATTAAATCCGATTATTATGTGGATGTGGATTGAACGGATTTAGCTTAGGAAGAAAATTAGATGAGTGGATTTATGACAAACAGGATAAACAAATTTAATGATTTAAGCTGAACCAAACAATATTCTGGATTTTCAACATTTGGATTTAATAAATTGAGATTTATTAAATTTATTTAACTTAAATCCTAGTTGCAACCAAACACCCCTAAGTCAAAAAATCAATGCCATAAGGCATCTTCTAATTAAAGAGCACTAAGTAGTAATTGTATCATAGAGCAACGGAGCGCCGGCCTAGACGCCCAATCAGACAGGCAGAATGCAGCCAAATCCAACACTCCTGCCCCAAATAAAGCCAAAAATTAAAAAAAAACATTTAGTCAAGAAATCTAAAATAGAATCTAACTTATAATTGCAAGTTAGTTTTTCAATTTGTACCTCAAATGTCATTGGATCCATAGCATAATACAAGCAATTTGAATGTGACATTTGAATGTTCTCAGTGAGCTTTTGCACGTACTAGAATGCTTACACAAATTTGCTTTTTATTAAGCCTGGTATGTGCTTCATGAGATGATATTTCAATCAAATCCTATACCTAAAAAATCATGTACATGCTTTGAAGAATGTGTGGGCAACTTAAATTTATGCATTCACAAATGAATTGCATGCGTTCTTATGATAATTCTAAGTTCTTGAACTTAAGTGTCCGAAAATACTGCACGGGTAAGAAAAAGAAACTAATTTATAAGCATTCAAATGTTTAATTTTTGCAATTTTTTAATAAATTACCAAAATTGAACTTTAATTACATGCAATTGAATGTGCCACAATGCATATAGGATAAAGTCAGGAGTCTTAAGCCAGTTCAATTCTTTTCCTTATAAGAATTGAAGTTGACAAGAACGAGTCATAGTCGAATAGTTTGGTCATTCTCATCATAATGATTAGAGTCAACATGGCTAATACTTTTATGAATGCTTAAGTAACTAAATTCAATTAACTTACAATATACGTTTCAATCAAACCTCGATGATGATTACGTTGTTAGTAAATGAAATTTGGATGGTTCATCATAAATTAAAAGTTTTATAACTAGTATATATATATATATATATATGAAAAGGGGTACATATAAAAATAAAAAAAAACTCAAAACCACCAGGGCGCTGAAAAAGTGAGGGTCATCCCAATCTAGTCCTGCCTCTGGCTCTGGTTCTCGGAAGGGGAAGGGATCCAGCTAACAGATTGGTAAGGTGCTTGCGATTACCAGAAGTAACCGAAGTATCATCCATAAGACTCATGAGCTCAAGTAGATCTTCATTCATCTTCTTCCTCCTGGTAGTGTAAACCTGTCACTCCTCATCCGAAGAATCAGTCTGATGAAGTGGTAGAGTTGAAGCAGAAGGATCACCAACCGTAGTACCCACAATATATTCTAGTATATGTGACGTATGGGTTGCCTCTACACCGGATACTTCCTGAAGAAGGGGAGCTGCAAGGTTCTGATTATCAGTCTGAACACTATCTTTTGTAGGTAATGTTTCATCAGTATTATTTTTTATGGGGTTTGAATGTGCCAACTTCATATCACTCATAGTAACAGTAACAACTATGTCATATGGGGGTCCACAAAGGCAACAAACATCTCCTGTCTGGTAGTATCCTCCCCAGATGGAACTAAAATATCCAGAGTAGTGGGGTTAGACTCATCCTTATTCACTTGAACGTCCAATAAGTTCTTGAGCTCGAGTCGGCGTCCATTCTTTTTTCTTCTTCCTAGAATAGACATGTCATTCATCATCTGAAAACTGGCTTATCTGATTAGTAGATTGGTCTAAAGTGTGTCAGACATGTGTAGGTTGTTGAACTTTGGAAGCATCTATTTGTTGTACCAGCTGATCTTTTATTGGATCAAAGGAGCACTCTTGTGTGTCTTGGCGTGTGTCTTTCTTGTGTGTCTTGGCATGTAAGTGAGCCTTCTTCAATAACAATGGGTCGTATAGACTCGTTTGGATCAATACTAGTAATATGGGGAGATGTTTCATGAGACTCCAGAGTATCATGCTCCAAGCAGCTGGAATAGTGTTCAAAAGTAGGAGCATCCAGGGGTAGAACGGCTTGGGTATGATGTTCTTCTTCTGAGACAGCAAAGGTTTGAATAGGAGGGTCATCAAAAAATTTTCCATTAGGAACAGCGTCAGTTAGATGAGCAGAGGTATATGCGGTGTTGGAAAGAGGGTCGGGGTG